GGTCTTTTCCAATGAGTCGGCTTTTCACATCAGGCGGCCAAAGTACTGGAGCTGTTCTTTAGTTTTTAACTCTTCGTAAATGCTAATCAAGGCATGACTGTTCCCTTTATGTTTTCAAAAGGTTCTAGACCACCCTGTACTGTTATCAACTTGGTCAACTCAATTCCGTTTCATGTTTCTGCTGCCATATGTTTTCCCCTTGTTGGAAGGATATGGATTTTTAGGACATAAGTCCCTAAAGGAAACTGGAGACATGATAAGGAGAATTCTGGCTGGACACAGCCATGGGGCATTGGTTCAGGCACTGCCGTTAGCATTTGCACCAGAAATGGCTAATAGAACTCACGGGCAGCTCTGTGCCTGCAGCTCAGGGAACGCTGCTCCATGCCCTGTGCTGACCTCAGCGGGAAGGGAGTCCGAGAGCAACAGGGGATGTGTGTGCACCTTGCTGCCTGGCAGACACCAGCTCAATTGCAAAGCAGCCGTTGTCCAAAATCGTCTTTAAAAAGACCCATTAAGAAAAGAACAACAACAAAAAAGCTTCCATTACCGTGCTGATTAGAATCCGGTGCAGCTCAGGCCGTATGAAGGAGCACGGTTTTCCCGGCCTGTAGAGGCGAGTCACCCTCTCTTGCTGTCTGTGGTAAAGTTCTCTTCAGAGAGGTCTGCCTTTGGGCTGCGTGAAGGACTTGTCGACAGAAGCATGCGGAGCCGAGGTTATATACAACTGGAGAAAGTTTTCAGGCGGGAGATCAATCTCTGGGCTCAGCTCAGTCAGTCAGTCATCCGGTGACAAGCCTCTGAGGAAGCAGTTCAAGAATTGTAGCTGGAACGCGGGGGATCAAGGACTCAGTCCGTGACGGGAGGAAAGCAATCAGAATTTATGTAGCTGCACTGGCCTTCCTAGGCCTGCCTGTGGACCTGCGTGGCGCACTGGGATGCTGTGGGCTTTTGTCCCTGTGTGGCTGTCTTCACAACTAGCGGTCAAGGACAGCGGAGGCTTTCTGCCCCAAACCGCTGCTCCGCTCGGGCCCCGTCAGCTCACACTGCAGGCCCCTGTGTCGTGGTCAGGACCACTGTGAAAGGCACGCTCAGAGGGACGGAAAGCCTTCAGAAAAGCCTGCTGATATGTTTAAGCAACCACTTATGTTGCAAATCATTTTACTAGCTTTCATGGAATAATGACAAAGTCCATCAGGAAACTAGCAGTTACAAAGCAAAAAGCACACAAACATAAGTGGAACAGAACTCTCTGATGTTTTGAAATACTTGGAAGAGAGCCTCTTGAAGTTAATGTTTCATGGGATATGTACTTGAAGAAAAAAAAAATAGATTTGAGTCTCAGTGTCTGTGTGATCTTGCTAAAGTGGTGTTTATCTTTTAAACACAGCTAATAATACCAGTCTGACATCCCCTATAGGGTCGTTGTGAGGATCAGAATGAAGATAATAGAGGTGAAATACTTTGTAACTGGTAAAGTTCTATAAAATATGAATGCTAATTGCTAGGTTGTTTCAGCGTTTCTTGTCACAGTTATTTTGGGAAAGTGTCAGTTCATTGAGCCAAAGAATTCCTAGAAATCAGCCCCTATTGACAGGAAAGTACTTAATATAATAAAAATATTTTTCCAGTATGTAGTTGTTTAAAGTTTTAATTTGACCCTTGGCTTTGCCTGGTGGCTCAGACGATAAAGAATCTGCCTGCAATGCAGGAGACCTGGGTTTGATCCCTGAGATTCCCTGGAGGAGGGAATGGCAACCTGCTGCAGTATTCTTGCCTGGAGAATCCCAGGGACAGAGGAGCCTGGTGGGCTGCAGTCCGTGGGGTCCCAAAGAGTCAGACGTGACGGAGTGACCAACAGCGTTCACCTTTGCAGCAAAGCAGCCTATGAGAGGAAACAGTGGGTGCAGGGTTCAGTCGCTGGGGAAGAAAGTGAGATGGAAGGAGGGGGACTGGAGCGGAAACAGCCAGATGCTGGGTCCTGGAAGCCGCGGCCCAGGCCTGCCGCTGACCTGTCTGGGTGCGGCTGGTGATGGTGAAGAAGGTGGGGGGGGGACAGGACATTCTGCTTCCCTGTTATTCCTTCTTCTGTGTCCCAGTTCGCTTCTTTCTGAGATGTCTTTTCAGAAATAGCATCTCGCATATCGCCTCATACTGTGATAGATAAACTCTCTCACGGATTTAAATTTAAAGTCACTGCCTGTATCAAAAACTTCATTTTTAAGTATGAAAGTGTTCCTGATAAGACCCATTTAGATGAAGTCAATAAGTTAAAAAGTGGAAAAGTCTCTGAGCCCCGCCTTCCTGCCGCTCAACCCCTTCCTCTCGGTGTGTGAGCCCGCCTGCGCGGAAGCGGGTCCAGCCCTCCAGGGGTGTGAGTGATGGAGGCCAGCCCTGGGCCCAGCCTGCGGATCAGACGCTGCTCCCAAGTCTGGCAGCAAACGGTGATGCAGCACAGGTGAAAAGCTGGGGAGTCGTAGAAGGTGGCGTTCCCTGAAGAAGACAGCAGGGTACGGGCCTTCGTTGCTGAAATCCTGCTGAGAAGGCCGGCGTCTGTGGAAAACCAAAACAAGACGAGAAAAGAGTCCAGAGATGGGGCGAGCAGGAGCGGGAGCAGGAGGAGGACACCCAAGCTGCCTCCCGTCTGGAGCGTCCTGTTTAACTGGGGGTGCTTCGTTCCAGTCAGTCTTCTGCTCCACAGATTCCCGTTTACTGGAACCCTCCAGTACTGGAATGTAGGAAAAAAGGAGAAAAAAAATTAATGCCTTAAAACCTTGTCAGCCCAGGAGGACCCGGCAGCAAATTCCCGCCGAGGAGTGCCAAAGGCCTGAGAATTAGACCTGCCCGGGTGACGCTACCTCCAGGTGTCTGGTTAGTCACGGCTGTCTCTCGTCCATGAAGGATTTGAGGTGCCGTGTAAAAGTACGTACAGGAGGATAGAATAAGTAGTTCAGATAATCAGGACGAAGAGGATGTAAGTAAGAAAATAGAACTGGGACAAGAGACGCACAGAGCCTCGTTACCATTTTCAGAGGTGACCCGTAAGGATGGCTGTACGCTTCCACGGGGCGGAATGAGGGGTGAGTTAGGATCAGCTGTGTGAAGTCGAGATACCCTCACACTGAAAACGATCCAGTTGCTCAGGAGAAGAAAAGAAGCTTTTCCTGTTCCCATTTTCTCAGGCCTGAGATCAGTGTATTTCATGAGGACTCGTCAGGACGACTCAGTGACCCTGTGACCAGCACTCTCGACACGCAGCTCCTGGCGCCTTCCGACCGTGATGGGCCAGACAGCTCAGTGGTGGTGGTTTAGTCGCTCAGTCGTGTACAACTCTTGCGATACGACTCTTGTGCTGTGGTTTCAGGCCCCTCTCTGGCCTGCATCCGGGATCCTCTCAGGCCTGTCCTCACTGGCAGCCAGGAGGCCCCTGAGTCACACCCACCCTGGGTTTTTGAATATTGTGATCTTCCTAAATTCATCTCTTGGTTACCTTTCAAATGTGATGCGTGCCTGCTTAGTCGCTGTAGTCGTGTCTGACTCTTGCGACCCCGTGGACTGTAGCTCGCCAAGCTCCTCTGTCCATGGGATTCTCCAGGCAAGAATCCTGGAGTGGTTTACCGTGCCCTCCTCCAGGGGATCTGCCCGACCCAGGGATCGAACCTGCCTCTCTTACGTCTTCTGCATTAACAGGTGGGTTCTTTACCACTAGCTCTACCTGGAGCTCCACCTGGAACAAAGGAGGCCCTTTGTTCTTACAACCTCCCCAGAATAAACAGAAATTATTTCATTCACCCATGAAGATTTTTACCTGAAATGTTTCCTCTCACTCGTTATATAAAAGGCATATATAGGAGTCTGTCCTCCACTCGACCAGTTACTTCCCTTAAAAAGACAGACGGCTACAGCTTTTTTTTTCCTAGCCATAATATTCCACTGTATGGATATAGTAGGGTTTACTCAACCAGCTTCCTATTCACGGACACTCAGGTTGTTTATTGTCTCGCTATAAACAGTGCTCCAGCAAACAGCCTTATACGTTCGTAACTTCCTGTATGTAGGAACAGCCTGCTACTGAAAGTGGCCATGTGGTGTGTCTGTAATTCTGAGGATGGCAACAGCGCCACGCTCCTTAGGTCTGGGGGTTGATAGCCCACACGTGCGCCTGCTCTCAGCATATGGTAGGTCGTGGTTTCTCATGGTTTTGGTGTCAAGTATGCTATGAAATGGTTTTATTTTTGCCAGTCAGCTAAGTAGAAAAGGGTAACTTGGTGCACTTTTTGTTTTTCTTAAGTGAGCTTTTCATTTGTTTGAGAATCTTTTTTTCCTCCCTTTTTGTGCATATCTTCATATTCTTTGCCCGTCTGAATAATGAGATTGTTATTCTTTTTCTTACCTACCGTGAGGGGCTGCATGTCATTCTTATTTTGCTCTAGGAAAGTTTCAGTGGGTGAGGAAGCCGGTGAGGATAGTGAATGAAAGAAGCAAGGCTAAGAACTGAAAACTGCTGCATGTGAAATAGACTCAAGTACAATGAACCTACTGTTCTTTCAGCTGCAAATAAATGCTGGGCTCAGATGGTTGGTTTTATCTACAATTTTTATACTGAAATATAAAGGATTTACTAATTAAGGAAAAAAGACTCACAGAGCAACATTAACATTCCACCTATCTTTATTATTTTTTATTTGCAAAGACAGTTCAGAAACGTTTTAAACATATTTTAAAACAATTAACCTTATAATCCTTGAACATCACATTTTATTATTATTATTATTTTTTACATTACAACCCTCATTTGTCCCTCTGTTAAAGAGTGGTGTCATAGTACACACTCATTTTCGGACAGACATTTTTTATGAGCTTGTGATAAACGCCTACTGTGTAAGCGCACCTTGCCTCTGCTTGGCGCCACTGCAGGCCTGTCCGGTGTCAGGAGTGGGATGGACCTGTGGCCTCTCGTGCCCTTTAACCCTCTGTCTCGTCTCCTGTCCCCACTGCAGCTGGAGCTCAGGACCGGATCGGCTGGGCCTTCGGGCTGGGGCTGGAGCGGTTGGCCATGATCCTCTACGACATCCCCGACATCCGCCTCTTCTGGAGCGAGGACGAGCGCTTCCTGAAGCAGTTCCGCGTGCAGGACATCAACGAGCAGGTGGTGTTCCAGGTGAGCGACGGGGAGTCCCGTGAGCACAGGGGGCGGGGTCACGCGCCACGAAGAGAATCGGTGAGCGCAAAGGAAATGTCAGCGTGCCACGCGTTTTCAGCCGAGGTCCAGAAGCACTCAGGAGCTCCGTGGGCCTTCTGAAACGGTATTCGCTAAGAGGGGGTTTATCAAGCCTGCTGGTCTAAGCGGGGAGCCAGCCTTGGGCTTCGCTGATGTCTGTTTCCCATGAGATATCCATCTTTATAACTGATGGTGCTTTCACAGTTTGGTTTTTTGGAGTTTTTTTTTTTTATGCTAATCTAGACACATTGACTTTCTTATGACTAGTGTTTGAAGTGTACATTTTTTTCATCATTTTATTTTCAGTTTCTGTCTTTATACTAAAAGCATGTCTCTTGGAAACAGCTGGGTCTTTTTGTAAACCCATATTTAATTGGGGTGTTGACTCTGTTACACTCAGTGTATTCCATGGGACATTCTTGGGGTTAATTTTTATTATCTCTTTAGTTCTTATCCATTTTCCTTTTCTGTTCTTTTTCTTTACTTGGAAATTGAGATTTTGTGCAGGGGGTTGTTTGGTTGTTTGGTTAGAGTATTTTATTACTCTATTGATGTTTAGTTTCTCAATTTTATATTATTTTTAAGTGGTTATTCTAGATTACAATATGCACAATTAATTCATCACACTTTACCATGAGTAACCAAAGAGTATTACAACTCCATGAAACATTTAATGTTACAATACTGTAATTCTATTTACTGTTTCTTTTTCTTGTATTATTACTGTCCTATTTTATTTCTCTGTATATTATAATCCCACAACACACTGCTCTGTTTGCTTCAAATAGCCATTGTCCTTCAAAGAAATTTAAAACTATATTTTCCTTGATGTTTGCCCATTGCTCACTGCCCTTCATGATTTTTCTCAGTATTCATTTTCTGTAAGTCTGAAGGACTTACTTTACCATTTCTTGTAGCGCAGCATGAATTTTCCCAGCTTTTGTTTGGAAATGCCTTTGTTTTGTCTTTATAATAGTAATATTTTCCATGGATATAGGTGTCCAGGTTACCAATATTTGTGCATGCTTTTATTTTTCCTGTTAGTTCTTTAAAATGTGTCATTTCATTGCCTCTGTCTTTTCCCTTTGGTTTCTGGCAGGTTGACCTGTGTGTGACTTTCTGTCTTATTATCTTGCTCGGGACTTCAGTGTGTTGAATTAGTGCTTTTCAGCCCTCTTTGAAAAGCCTCACATCTCTTCCAACGGCGCTCTCTTCCTTTGCTCTTCAGACTGTGACCACACGTGTGTCAGCCCGTTTGCATTTGTGCCCAGGGTGTGCTTCTTCTTATGGGTTTTTCCCCACTGTGTGTTTTATCTTGGGTAGTTTTTCTCGTCTTGTCTTTGGGTTTCCCCGTCTTCTCTGTTGCGTCCATGTAACCGCTAGGCCTCTCCAGTGAGCTTTCATTCTAATTTTGTACTCCTCATTTCTCCAGTTTCTATTTGCATCCTTTTTAGGGTTTTATGATTGATGAAATTCTCCATCTTTTCATCCATCTTGGACAGTTTCCCCTAAATTCTTCAGCATGTTCATGCCGGTGACTTTTAAGTCTTGGTCTGTTATTTCCAAGCTTTCAGCTCTCTGTTGTTCTCCTTTTAGTCTTCTTTTCTTCTTGGTTATGGGTGACATTTTCCTGCTTCTTCACTCTTCTTAGTTTTTAAATGTTGGCACCATGTATCCTCAGGAAGCCTTACCCTTTCCCCGGGCAGGCAGCGAAGGCAATGAATCCAGATCCCTTTGTCATAAGCAGGAGTCGAGCTGGATTTCGTGTCTCCTTAAGTTTGTGTAAGAAACTTAACTTCTGATGGAGCGGGGGGTGGGCGTGGGGGACAGTTAGGATTTGATAGCTGAGACAGTAGATCTCTGTAAAATGCTTTGTGAATTATAGATCACAGAGAGCTACTTCCTAGTGACTCCCTTATAATTAGTATCTATTGACTATGTTGTCAGTTTCCCGTGGCTAACGTTACAAATTACCACAAAGCTAGCGGGTTCAACCCACACACCTCTATTATTTTACAGCCCCGGAGGTCAGGAACTCACAGTCAGTTTGCCAGGCTCAGGCTCAGGGGCAGCGGGGCTGGTGCCCCCGGAGGCTCCAGGGGAGGCCCCTCCTCCTCCTGCCTGGGTCAGCTTCTGGGGCCAACCGCGATCCTCGACCCCTGACTGCATCGCACCGCGTCCCCCCCCTTTCCTTTCCCATGTGGCCGCTCTGCCTTCCCTCCACACATTTGTTCTTCTCACAAGAGCCCCTGCGGCAAGCTTATCTCCACACACAAAGATTTTCCTCCAGCACATCCGTGAAGTCGTCTGTGAGTGTCAGGCAACAGATCCACGGGTTCCTCGGATGAGGAAGTGGACATCTTCGGGGGTCGCTATTCAGCCCATCACATACACCTTTCTTTTTTTAAAAAAAGCATTGTTTGTTTGTTTGGCTGCGCCGGGCCTTATCTGTGGCACGTGGGGTCTCCAGCTGTGGCGCGTGGATTCGTTGCCTGACCAGGGGTTGAACCCGGGCCCCCCTCCCTTGGGAGCACAGAGCTTAGCCACTGGACCACCAGGGAAGTTCCGCACATACCTTTATCTGTTCCGTTTCCATCATGGCAGATTGCTTGCTTCGGATAGAAGAGAGGAGATTTTGTTGTTAGGTGTAAGTAATATAGATAATATGACAGTGTGAGTTTCTGACCATTTGTTTGGAGAGGTCGTGCGTCTGTACATGAAGGAAATAGGGACTCCTTTCTCACTTAATGACGTTGGGCTGTCTAAGGAAGAATGTGTAACATGATTATAAACGAAGGTTAGGCTGAGCCTGAAGGCAGTGATGGTGAGAGGGCGAGTCTGCTGTCGGCCCCGTCGTCTCTGAGGTCGGTTGTAGTTAGATTCCTGGGAAGCCATCAGTGAGTCCTTGGTCTCCCTGGGGTACCAGGCATCAGCTGCGAGCACCCTGCTCTGTGAGGACTGGGGGTTTCTTACGGCCAGGGTTGGCCGTTTTCCCTTATTTTGTGTCTTCCCGTGGTCATGGTTCAGTGCCCCGTACTCTGTGCATTAATTTATTTAGTGCCTTATAACACTTGTCATTTGTTGAGTGCTGGGTACAGTCATGGGACTAGATACTTTGCCTGTGTCATAGCTTTCACTCTTCACAATCTGATGGGGGTGAAGTCTATTAACCCATTGTATAGACAACGAAACTGAGTCTTGGAGCCAGCAAGGAGCTCAGCCTCAAAAACTCTGCTAGCAAGTTACAGAGCTACGATCTTCACTAAAGCTGACTCCAGGGAGCTCCTAACATTGAACTGGTAAAATCTTGTTTCCTAGACGAAGCACCACTCTGGAGTCAATGAGATGAAATGCACAGTTTCTGACTTCAAGCTGTTTTCAATCTAGAGAAGGAGATAGATTTATCAAGAGATGGCTTCCCCCATGTCTCAGTGATAAAGAATCCACCTGCAGTGCAGAAGACACGGGTTCCACCCCTGGGTTGGGGAGATCCCCTGGAGAAGGAAATGGCAACCCATTCCAATATTCTTGCCTGGGAAATCCCATGGACAGAGGAGACTGGCGGGCTACAGTCCATGGGGTTGCAAGAGTCGGACATGACTGAGTGACTAAACAACTAAATTATAAATAATATGAAATGCAGTGACGGGCTGCACACAGGTGAATGTAGAGTTTTGCTAATATTGACCAGTGTATGCAGGGATCAAAATTTTCATATTTTTTAAATTCTATTTTGCTAGTTAATTCTCAGAATCCTTCCACGTCTCTCCAGAATTGTATCAGGACTTGAGCCTGCGATTACTTGCTAATCTCCGGGACTTGGAATAGTTCCTAGATCCGGTTTCTCTGTCATTACCATAAATGTTGTCTGGTAGAGACTCAGTGCAGGATTATGCGGTGTTTCCTCATTCTGTTCCCAGATAAATCCAGCTGCAAGAATCCCATCAGCTTCACTGTGTTGTGGTGAAATTAGTGGGTCTCATTTTTCTTTCCCCTGTGCAATTTTTCCATCTCGCCGCCCCCCCCCCCCAAGAAAGCACATAAATATTTCTCTTCTGCAGGAAGGAGGATGTTTATCCCAGAAGACAGTCATAGAAAATCACAGGAAGAGGGGGAGATGACCAGCCACAGGACTGTTTGTGCCCTGTAGTCATTGTTGACGGTCAGACGTGGAGAGATGCAGCGAGCAGGAGGATGGACCCGTTTGTCGTGGGAACCGTCCTGGTGCCTTTATATAAAGCCTTCATCCCCGTGAGTGAGTGCCCAGTGAGCATCTCGTCCACGTTAGCTGGTACTCCTGTTGTCACGACCCCCACAGCCACTGTGGGCCAAGCGGGCCCGGTCCCCTCGTGACTCCTGGTCCCTCCTGCCTGCAGTGTCCATCTCCACCTTGCTTTGCCTGCCTTGTGATGTGAGGTTGTTTCACAGACCCTCGGTCTGTTGAGTCCTATTGCATTGTCACCCCGTGTCTATCCCTGGTCCTCTGTCGTCAGAGGCTTGTGGACTTATGACTGCTTTTTATCTTTGTGAAAGCGAAATAGAGGGCAGCCACCACACGTTCCTTCCTTACTTAATGCACTTTTAAAGTGCATTACTCACAGTAAGAGTGAGGTCCTCAGATCTTCTGGTATAACTTGGACAGTTGTTGTGGCCTCTGTATGCACACACGTTCAACCTCCTTGTTAACACTTCTGGCCGTCAACCCGAGGAAGATGCCCAGCAGCTTCCTGCCCGTGGACACTGCTGGGTGCGCGCGTGCTCAGTCGTGCCCAGCTCTCTGTGACCACACCGACTGCAGCCTGCCAGGCTCCTCTGTCCTTGGGGTTTTCCAGGGTAGCATACCAGAGTGGGTTGTCATTTCCTCTTCCAGGGGCTATCTTCCCGACCCAGGGATCAAACCTGCATACTTTGAATCTCTTGCATTACAGGCAGATTCTTTA